GGGTTTAGGGTTTAGGGTTTAGGGTCTAGGGTTTAGGGTTTAGGGTTTAGGGTCTAGGGTTTAGGGTTTATGGTTTAGGGTTTAGGGTCTATTGTTTAGGGTTTAGGGTTTAGTGTCTAGGGTTTAGTGTCTAGGGTCTAGGGTCTAGGGTCTAGGGTTTAGGGTTTAGGGTTTAGGGTTTGTGTGTTGTGCTGTATATGCAGCTGCAAGAGAAGCTTGAACCCGAATTCCTCGAGGTCATCAATGAGGTGAGCCCACAGCAGCAGCAGCTGCTGCTGCTGCTGCTGCTGCAGCAGCAGCAGCAGCAGTATAAGTAGCAGCAGCAACAGCTGCATCAACATTACCATCAGCAACAGCAGCAGCAGCAGCAGCAACCACAGCAGCAGCAGCAACCACAGCAGCAGCAGCCACAGCAGCAGCAGCAGCAGCAGCAGCCACAGCAGCAGCAGCAGCAGCAGCAGCAGCAGCAGCAGCAGGTGTGTTGTGTGTGTGTTTAGTCTGCTGCACATAAGGGTCACCTCGGTAATCCTTCGCCCCACAAAGAAGAGACTCACTTCTCGTCCGTCTCCTTCTGTCTCCTTCTGTCTCCTTTTGTCTCCTTTTGTCTCCTTTTGTCTCTTTTTGTCTTTTTTGTCTCTTTGTGCCTCTTTCCTGTCTCCTTTTGTCTCCATTTGTCTCCTTTTGTCTTTTTTTGTCTCTTCTTCTGTCTCCTTTTGTCTCATTTTGTCTCTTTTTATCTCTTTTTGTCTCTTTTTCTGTCTCCTTTTGTTTCCTTTTGTCTCCTTTTGTCTTTTTTGTCCCCTTTTGACTCATGTCCTGTCTCCTTTTGTCTCCTTGTGTCTCTTTTTGACTCTTTTGCTGTCTCCTTTTGTCTCCTTTTGTCTCTTTTTGTCTCCTCCCTTTGTCTCCTCTTGTCTCCTTTTGTCTCCTTTTTGTCTCTTTTTCTTGTTCTTTCTGTCTCCTTCTGTCTCCTTCCTCTAGCTGGTCTCTCTCTCTATCTTTTTCTGTCTCTCTTTCTGTCTCTGTCTCTCTCTCTGTTTCTCTGTCTCCTTCTGTCTCTGCCTCTGTCTCTGTCTCCTCCTGTCTCCCTCTCTGTCTCTCTTTCTGTCTCTCTTTCTGTCTCTCTTTCTGTCTCTCTTTCTGT